GGGTTGTGTGTGTGGGGGGGTTGTGTGTGTGGGGGGGGATTGTGTGTGTGTGTCTGGTTATGTGTATATGTGTGAGTGTGTGTGAGAGAGAGAAAGACATTTTTTATCATGCATGCATATTCTTGCCCGAGTGAGTATTTATGTAATATATGGTTGTGCGTGCAGATATCCATATATTATGCACGTGAATATATGCACATATCATGTGCAGGTATTCATTTGTACTCTCTGAGCTGAGCAAATTATATTTTTTCGGTCCAATTTAGAAAATTGAAAATCAAATATTTCTTGTAAGGAAAGCTGCATTCACGTTACCGACCATAACCGAAAATGGGATCATCTTACATCTGGCAACATATGTTCTTCAAAATATATATTTTTCTACAATTAAAAACCAGTGCAATGGCATTATTTTTACTTCCACATTATTTTTTAATATTTTTTTAATACTTGGCGGCCTGTTTAGGTGGGGAAGAGGTAGGGGAGAGGATAATGGTGGTCCTAAAAAGATGCATCGGCTTAAACCATTCCTAATGCACACATTCCAGTTACTGATTTATCCCACAAGTACTTTGTAGGTTACCAAACATACTTATAACAGTGAAAAATAAAAAATCACTTCATGTGTTCAGTGCACTACTTTAGCTCCATACAACTTACTTTGATGATGTTGGGAAGAGCATCTTGGTAGGAGAGTGATGAGAGAAGGAAGGAAGTTTGGATTTGACAGCATTCTGCTGGTTTACTCTTGCCTCTGCGCATTCAGCTAACTGCATTAGGCCCTTTCTTTCTACACCAGGGTTCACGTCAACATTTTTACAACCAACACATTTACAAATATTAGAACAGGGAATTTTGGCCTGAGAAAGGAAGAATAAAAAACAGATTCAGATTCATTCAATTACCAGAAACCATCACTGATGTTTTTTCAATACATGTGTATATCTATTGTGTTAACCTGAGCATTCACCATTAAAATTGAACACATGATAATATTTTCTGGAAGTATACATTTTACTCTCTTAAAAATTTCAAAACAAATCTAGTATACATTTATCTCTGGACCACAAAATGGGATGAGAAATCAACAGTGCAATAATACTCACCTCGTAACATTCACAGTAATTTTTGAGGCATCCCGAACGCTTGCAGTTACACCCTTTGTTGTGTCTTCGTTCATTATCACTGCCTCCTTTTCCAATTTTAGGTCGGAAAGCTTGAGGGTTTCGATCAAGACAAGCCTTGATTGCTTTTTGTCTGTCTTCTTCATGAGCTAAGTTGTTGAAACAATTTGCACAGTTGCAGTTATTGCAAAACTCACCATTTGCAAAACAATCACAGTAACTGGTGGGAATGGAAAAAAAAAAATAGATGAGAGAGATATCTTGTTTCTACTACAAATCTGTGAACAGATATTATAAAGTGCTTGTCAAATGTTTTGATCTGTAACAAAGTCAATTTTATTTATGTCATTCATATGACTGCTGAGATAAACTTTGGTAAAAAAAATATGCATAGTTTCATAAATTTACCAGTCAATTTATGCACATGTGTGTATGGTGCATGTGAGGACATTCTAAATAATAGTAGTTCAAATCTTGAAAACTAATATTAACAGGCATTTTCTTCAAACTTTTTTATATATAAAGCCTATATATCCTCCCCCTAAAGATTCAGTAAGGAAAATGGACTTACAGTTTAAGACACTGGCTCTTTGTACAGTTACATGGCTTTCTCGGTCTAATTCCATTTGCATCTATTACTGTTCGTGGAGGTTGTGGCTTTGGGGGTGGAATTATTGTACCCGGGGCTGGCTGGCTTGACATCTGGACTGTTGCACTATTTGTTGTATTTGACTGTAGCTGTTTAAATAAAAATGTCATTAGTTTAGCAGTAGCTTACTAAAAACTACTTATATTAATTTTAAAACAGGAATTCAACTTTCATACAAATAGTGCATTAATTTTAAAAAACAGATCCTTAATATATTAACAATCTTTTGCTGAAAATCCTCAATTTCAGGAAATCAATTTTTACATTTTATCTTACCTGAGACATGTAATGGGCTGGAATCATGACCACAGAGCCAGGCTGGGTGTTGGAGAGGACTCCAGGGGGAAGAGCTGAGGCCGGCAAGGTAAGACTTGCTGTCTGAGGACGTATGGGAACACTACCACCAACACTGGCAGTTGGCACAGAACCAGACACTGGGATGATCACCCGCTGTTTACTGGGCTGTTGAACATATACAGTTATATGAAAAAAGGGTGCAGTAGATATTGCTTGTTCTTCCTAACTTAAGAAAAGACACACAAACTAATTTTAGTCCTCAAAGCAAAATGGTTGCCAAGAACTTTTAACCAAAATGAAGTCATGAAAATTCCTCATGCAAAATTTCTCTTACCCATTAGATAGTTTCATAATACCTGATAAATTATGGAATGATATTTAGTATTTCTATATACATGCACCATTTGTCAGATATCATAAATTTTCTTTTTTTCATTGAAAACTCATTGAGCCCTCAAAAGTATGATTATAAATTATATAAACAGGAAGAACAACGGCAATGAAGTTCGTGGCCAGGAAAAATGCATAGCAAGTTAGGACTGGCTGAGATAATCACATCTTTTTCATACTGAACTCTCTTGTTCAGAAGTTTTCCTTTTGCAAACAATTTTTTTGCCCATTTCAGATACCCAAATAGTTAACATATAACTGGACTCCCTAATTTACCATATCAGTAAACTTCTATTACAATACACTGATTATCAATACATTGCATTTCATTTATTAAGCTATAGCAATTAAAGGGAGTCTTCCCTCCATATCCTGTGCAACTGATGAATTTTAATAAACAACTGAAAAATATTTTCCATCGTACCTGTTGACTTGGTGCAATAGGCATTGCTTTTATCTTAATAGGCTGAGATGCAGCTGGGGCAATGGGCTTGTTGGTGGGTGGTGTTGGTCGGATGAGTGTTGCTCCCCCTCCCCCTCCTCCACTGCCCCCTCCACCCACTCCTGGACTCACTAATCTCACATAGTTCATCTGTACATGTAGGTATTTCAATTAGAATATCTTAAAAGGATCAAGAGGAAAACAAATATCAAAGCACTTCAACACCCTTTTCACTTACAGTGTACAAACCACCATTCATGAAAGTCAGTTAAGCTTTGTTCTCAGTCTGGTTTCTATATCATAATCAAGATGAATAGCTCACCCGATTTGAAAACATCTGTACATTCTGTGGCTGAGCTGTTAGTTGTTGCACCTGGCTGGCAGGAATCTTGATGACCTGCTGTCCTCCAGAGGTCACAATCTGCCCTGCTCTGACAGTGCTTACTGATCCCTGTTGATAACAAAATTAAATCTTAGATTACACTTTTTAATCACTTGTATTTCTATCACTATGATTTGGACACTTTGCAAACATTCTTGCCTACACGTTCAACACACTATCAAAGACTTGGTGAGATGCTTTGGTTAACTTACCTGGCCAGGCTGAGGAACATTGCTCTTGATTACAATTTTCTGTGGACTGGACAAAATATTGCGGACTGCTCCCCCACTGCTAATCTGGTGTGTTATAATCTGCTAAGGAAATGAAGAAAAAATTAAATTCTAATCCAGACAAACAAATAATTGAGAAGAGCAAAGAAATCAAAAGCAATTAGAAAATAAATATGCATAAGATTCTAATTAACCCATTAGCCCATTAGCGACGGGTGTCCCATATAAGAGACACCCAAAAAAATTAACACTGCCGGGTGTCCCGCCATTGTGACGCTGTATCGGGGCTTGCGCTCCAACGCAGCAGCGGGTCGCGGCCAGCGGGCTGACAGACTCCGGGGAAGCTCCACCCGCCGATTTTGTAGCCACCCAGAATATTTTATTTTTGGCTTCAAAATAAACCGGCGTAAATGGGTTAAGGATAATAATCTATTACCATCTGGAAAAATCATATCAAAAGACAAATATGGACATTGGACAATGGCAAAAAAAGAAAAGGTTTACACCAAATAACTTTGCAAAGGGGAAGGGCAGTTTTGTCACAGCTCAAGAGTGTTCACATATGCTCGGCCTACGCACCACACGCCCAGCTGAACGGCCATTTACATAACCCATTGCTCATTGTTATGTACACAGATTAATTATATAGTTCCTATTTAGTTTTATACAATGTATCACGGTGTTACTAACACTATATCTAAGTTACCCCTTACAATACATTTTCTATGTACATGCGCCCCCAACCAGCACGTACGTAGACTACTAATCCTTCTCCATACAAGATCTTAATTAAACAAGCAGCATCTTACAAGACCGTGTATAATTAACCAAATTATAGAAGGTTATAAGAAGATCCAACATTATAAAGTTGGCGACGAACATGGAATTACCACAGAGGATTAACTATAGCAACATATTTACACCTTGCAGGTTAGTATGTGGAATACCAATGAAATATAGTTGTGCACAAACACAACACTCACATGTTTACCATGTGATTGCTGTAACATAACCAGATCCAATAGGGTAATAACATTGTAATTGTCATAATGTCATTAACAGTAATATCAAAATCATCATTAAAATTATCAGATTTTTTTTTTTTTTTTTTTTTTTTTTTTTTTACTCAGAAAGGGGAAATCAGGCAAGATCATTAAGCCTATTAATTGGTTTCTTGGTGGCCTAGCACTTCCAGACCCATTAATGTGCAAGCAAAATTCACAAGAGAAAACTACAACTGACAGAATAGGTACCCTGCAGCAATGGGTTAGAATATAAATCAATCAATAAAGAAAAAATAATTAAAGTTGAAATCATAAACTACACTTTGTAGTGCATAAATGTACACAAAATATAAAACATTTACATACTTTATTTTATATAAAATTCTCTGTTCTAAAGAGTTGTTTAAGTTGAATAAATTTCAAAATCTATTTCAAGCACTAACGCCAGTATATTTTGAAGCCGAAAATAAAAGTTTCCGGGCAGCTACAAAATCTGTGCGTGGGACTGGCCCAGACTCTGCCTGCGCGCCGGCCGCGGCCCGCTGTTGAGTTGGAGCGCGAGCCCCAATACAGTGTCACACCAGCGGGACACCCGTCGTAAATGGGTTAATAAGGTATTTAACTTTTAACAGTTTAAATTCAGTTAGTATAAGCTTCCAGAAACCATCAACTATAAGAGCAAAGGAACAGCAGTTGCATAGCAACAAGGATATTCCTCACAGAGTGACTGGGGTGCATCAGGTTGAGAACCAGTGGTTTTAGCAGTTGCCTGAATAATTTAGTAATTATGGTAAAAAAGTGATAAAATTGAGGTTCAAAAAAAGGAAAGTGTGGTATAGAAAAGAAGAAGAAAATATAAGGTCACTTATTTAAAGATGGAGCCTTTAAGTTTTCTTTCCCAAATAGTAAACACTTATGCAAGGTTGGAACAAAGCCTTATTTCCAATATCTGTTTCTGTGATAAAAATCCAAAATCTGGCATTTTCAAAAGTGACTTTTTGAATGCCATGACAATATTACATGAAGCCCTGGCAAAATTCTTGAAATAGAGTTCTGGTTTGACCTCTAAAGAGGCAGAAAGACATGGAAAAGCTACAAACACACTTTTCCTGTGTGATCTACCCTCTTTCTGGTTTTAACATGGCAGCTTTGAAAATAGAAAATAAACTTTACTGAAGTAAATAATATATACAACTATAATTCATACTGTGGGCTCTGTTACCCATAAAACTTATACAAAATGATGACAAAACATCTGAGGAATTCCTTCTAGCACTCTAAACAAATAAAAATGTAAAATAATGAATAAAAAAATAAATCAATAAATAATAATAATAGAGATGATGAAGATGGTGATAACAATAATTCAATGATAACAACAACAAAAACAAAAAAAATTAAAATATATTTCTTTATCAGTATTGTGAATAAACCAATAATAAAGGACCCCGTCTTTTTTTTCCAAATTTTCCTGCCGATTTTGATGAAACTTGCACCCTTTTATTTAGACCCCATCCCATTGCCTGTGGTCATTTTTTTTTTTTTTTTTTTTTAATCTCCCAAACAGTTTTTGAATTATTGTAGAAAAAAAAGAAAGAAAAAAAAATCCACCCCCCCCAAAAAAAAAATAATAATAATAATAATAATAATAAAATTGAGTGAAGGGTGGAAATCCTCCCATCTTCAAAAACGATAAATCATTAAATTTGATTTGATTTTTGTACAGAACTATCTTATAGCTACAACTTGTTCAAAATACTTCCTTTCTTCTTTTTTTTTTTGCTTTCTTTTTTGGTGAATTTTTGAAGTAGGCTACCTCATGAAAATCAAAAGAGTGAAAAACCTTCTGACGTTTGTCACTTTTACAAGAAGCAAAGGCAAAATTGCAAAAAAAAATTTGGAACAAAATAATATAACATTTTTGAGAAGTCAACCTTTTTTTTTTTTTTTTTTTTTTTTTTTTTTTTTTTTTTTTTGAATATTTTCCGAAGGTGACTGTAAAAACACCCTATGAGGAGATTTTGAAAATGCATGTTACTTTTATAAGAAGCACATGAAAATATTGCAAATCCTCATAGCATCATGTAATATATTGATTATTCAGCTACAAAATGAGCCATAATACGTTGCATTATTCATACATTTTACATGACAAATCATATACGAAATATCTGTATATGATATAATTATCTATTATTTACCTATTATTGTTCCTCTTATGGGATTTTACAACATACAATATTGGTCGAAAAAATAACTGTTCTCCAGGCAGACGGGTATCATACATGTCCATTTCTCAGCACGGCCGGGCATCGCCGATCCATGAAATACATTTCTTTGCACTTGCGGAATACTGGCGTTAAAGGATGAAATGCAATTACAGCGCGATGTAAAAGTATGCATATAAGGGATATAAACATAAATATAAAAATCATGAACACATTTTAATGGGATTTTAACCAAAGGTGTGTTTTAACCTTACTTGGATGCTTATTGAACTTTGGTGGTGATGCGGACCATGGTTTGGATCCAGGATTTATTTTTCCAACTCCAAAAGTTATGAACAGGTTTGGCTCAGCCTAATGTTTTGCTTATAGATCAAACTATGTATGATGAAAACAAAGAAGATAAAATACTCCATATGAACGGCATATGTTTATTTGAATGAAAAATTTCTTCATTACCGTTTCTTGGACACTTGCCACATTTCAAAAATTATTCCGAAAAAATGAGGGTTGGTCTCACCTTCTGTGAAATTTAATAAGCTTTCAGAAAAAAATCTCATTTTCTTATTATCTCTAATCATTGCGTAACAATTGCCGATTTTCTAAGGTAACGTGAAAAAAATAATATTTCAGTTGACGTCGGAAATGGCTGCTACCACCTAAAAAATAACGGTCGGGCCTTGAATTGTTCAGGGGAGAATTGGAGGCCCTGAAACTCCTTGAAAATGCATTAAACTCGATTTCAGCAAGATGGGAGAAAAATGCCGAAAAATGACCAGATGGTCCCCTAAAATTATGACACATGTACATATAAGCATATGTAACCCTACCATGAATGTAATAGAACTACTCTCGGGAGACACAAATCAGCACAAAAGGTTAAGGCATACACATCGTCTTATGCAATTGTTTTTTTCAGTAAACATGATTCCAGGGAAGGATAATTGTTGCAGTAAAGAAACTGTTAAAAATCCACTGGGGACATAGGAAGCTTGTAGGTATTTAAGACTAGAAGTTATTAGATAAAGGGGATCCCTGTTATTCATCGCACCCTTATTTGTTATTTCACCCTTTCAATACAGATGTTTTGCTGATTTATTGGTGACTGCAGTTCACTCATTTGTCATTTAGGGTTCTGAAAGTTTATACACATATGGCATATAAGAATCTAAAAAGTAATAATTAACAGTATCTAAGTTGTAACTATAAGGAAAATATAAAATAAGAGCATGATTTCCAGAATATGAATACATGTACCAGGGTGCACAAAAATCTAAATTTCTGTGCACCCTGTTAACAAGAACTACAGTGCAGTATACATGCACATTATGTGCCCACTTTCCAGCCACCGAAACAGGCTGATGCCTCTACACCAGCACACAGAAAGCTGCTGTTAAGTGTTAACCCACTTGCGATGGGTGACACATATTTGTGACACCTGGAAAAATAAACATTGCTGGCTATCCCACCAGTGTGACACAAGACTGGAGCTTGCGCTCTGATTTTGTCACCCGTGGTGGGCGGTGTGTGGGCCGGTTCCCGGACTGGCCCAGGTGCTGATTTTGATACTGCTCGGAAACTGATTATCTGCTTCCAAATGGACCGTCGGTAAAAATGTTTGGTAAGTGGACGTAATAATGGGATTGTTGGCATGAATCAGCAGTTTTCCCTGTTTGTGCCTGGCTCATTTGGTAGTTTGCGAGTGACATTTGGCACCCAAAAACTTTTATTTTGCTATAATTTATCAAAATATCATAATTTTGAAGGTTACCTTCATTATAGGTGCCATTGCCTAAAAAATATCTTTACCATATAAATGAAGCCACTACTACTGCAGAAAAACAAACTCTGTCCAATGAGACAATGGCGCAGGAATGGGCACAATACGTTTTTGAGTCCACAACAGCCATGGTATGTACGTACAAGCCACCTGTCAGCTAGGGGATAATGTGATCTATCTTCCAAACCCATTACTGAATAATTTCTGCTGCAAGCCCACCCAAAGCGAAACAAGTATTATGTGAATAATAAAAAAAAAGGAATAAAAGTAAGGAACGAGAAGCTGATGTTGGGCACTTAAACAGCATTATATCAAACATGAGGAATGTGTCATGATCCTAACCCATCCATGTATACCAGGAGTTGGCTGATGTAAATGGTGATGGTCCTCTCTCATCTACTTGTGCATAGCCAAACCTCTTTCCTGTCTTCTCCGCCACACTCTGGCACAAAACCTCCAAACTACAGCCAATTTTTGCATTTCTCTTTTGTATTAACTTTTCTTTTTCTTAGATAAAAATGTTGTACTTCTCATTTTAGTATCACTCTCAAAATATACTTCAAGAATATATGCTGAAGCAAACTAAAGGATACTATGATTTACATTACTCCCATTCATAATGCATTCCTATGGGTGTACTGCTATTTGTTGTGTATTTCTGGTCTATATTAATGACAAATAACAGAGATCCCCTGTATCTTGAAAATACTTGAAACCAATGTTCTGTAAAGAGCAAATAGTATTTTTCATTGGGCTCTTTTCTTTTCAAATTCTTTCCAGCCTTGTATATAAGATTTATTTTTTTCTAAATATCACTTTAATTAAAATTCTAAACAATATTTAAATATATATCTATATCTATATATATATATATGTATTTAAAAAATCTACAAGGAAATAAGCCCTTTTATAACATAACCCTAAAACATGTATTTCAGGTGGTAAACATATTAGGGTTAATCCTATGAAAAGTAAATGGCTCAGCAAGAAGACACTTGCTAGCCTAATAGATATTTTCAAAGGGATAAAGTTTATAAATGTTCATGATTTCAGAAATGCTAAAATCACCAATTATGTCTTTACCACATGGTCCCCTTAACATCTAAGAATGACAAACACTCCAGCTTGTCTATCTCCCAACCTCAAAACACTTGACTTTCTTAGTTTGGTTGTAAGAATTCCAGTTTATTTAACCCATCCATCCCGGGTGTCACATATATGAGACACAAGGAAAAAATAAACAGTTTTGGGCTGCCCGCCAGTGCGATGCCTTCTCGGAGCCGTGCTCCGCGGCAAAAGCGGCGGGCGGCCGGGCGGGCGGACAGACTCCGGGGAAGCTCCGCCCGCCGATTTTGTAGCTTCCCGGATTTTTTTAATTTGGGCTACAAAATGTACCCCGGCGTGACTGGGTTAATACACTAGGAAATTATTTTTTTAAATTCCAAAGTAGTGCGTAAAATAGGGTGATCTTTATGTACATGTAAATGAAATATTTGTAAAATAATTTTCAAATCTTGTATATATGGCAACTTTCCTTTTACTTCACAGGTATAGAGAACTAACCCCCTATATTTCTCTGGGTCTTCTTGTGCATGTCTAGGTAGTTCCTCCTCCTCCTCCTCCAGATCTTCAGAGTTCAGTACAACTACAATCCCATTTTTTGCCCACCTTCCCTAGGACCACTCCTCTTTTTCATTTGTTTTCATTATTTTGTTAATCTTTTACCCCATTTTTCTTTTGTAAACTAAGATAACTTTTACAACTCTGATGCTCCACTGTAATTCTGTAAAAAACTAGCACCAGACTTGCAATCTCTGGCCCTTTAGTAAAATTGATCTTTTCATACATTAAACACCAAATCTGAATATTCCCTCTCTTTCCCCCTCATATAATGAAAGGAAGACAGAAAAAAAATACTAATAAATAATCCTCAATTCAATACTAGGTATGTTTTCCATCAAAATATCCATCCTGAATGTTACACAGCAACAAAAAATATGAGCCTAGATCCCTTCAGTAGCAATCGCACTGCTCACAGCTGACTGTCCCCTCACCAACTTCTCAACTGCAACGCACCTGCTGTTGTCCGGAGGGAGGAGCAGGGGCGATTTTGGTGGGAGACTTCATGGCCATGGAGACAGGTATCACCAACTTACTTGGGGATTTCAGGGGAGAAGAACTCCCCATATTGACACGCTGGACAACAATCTGCCAAATGCAAGTCAGCCTTAGAGTTTACTATAATACCCAATCAAAGCACCCATAGGTTCATCAGCTGTACGATCCTCTGTCATATATCCCAGGGGTTAATAATGCTTCAAATGACATTCAAGAAAAATGAAACATCACTAGTTCTGACCCTAATTTAGCATTTGATTTTATATATAATCTATAGTTTCCATAATAAAAAAAATCATACATACAAAGAAATTTATAACATCATAATCATTCAATAAACAATATGCAAAGTGAAGAAAGAAATTAAATATCATATACTATCACAGTAACTTAATCATAAACACCCAATCCTTCACAATAAAAAGTAAAAACTTTTCCATTTCAGCTACTTCTTTAAGAACTTACAATCTACAAAAAAATTTCATATGTTCAGTGAAGATTGTGGCAACACTCCAAACTCTTCAACTTCATCACTATTTACTAATAAATAAACCTACTGATATATTACAAATATTCTTTACAAGAACTACCATGAAGAAAATAATATATCATGAAAAACACAATATGAAAAAAATTAAATATAAATGAAACTATCTTTTGAATGGGAAAACATTTTTTTAGCATTACAAAAGGTTACATGAAATGAATCTGGGATTCATTAGAATCTGTGACTGATATAAGGAGAAATTAATTTGCTTTTATCATCTTTTCTTTCTAAACAATGGACTGTTTTCATCTAACCTCTTTATCTGCCAATGGATAATAGATTTGTAATATAATAATTCTGTAATCTAGAGAAAGTTGACCAGATGGTGGGTAAATTTATACATTTCAATAGATTTAAAGTAGTAAAAGAAATAGAAGAAATAAGAATTGCTTTATGATATCAATAATGCAAGATATTTCTGTCTTACTTCCTTCCCAACAATAAAAAATTATGAACTCAAAGAAGCCATGACAGTGAATAAAGAAAAAAAAAAAAAAACATCTGCTTCATATTTATCAAGTAAGGTTTTTCTTAGTATTACTTCCTGTCCAACAGCATACACAAAGAGCAGACTCCAAGAAGCCATGACAGTGAATAATTATACTTAGAACATCATCCTTTTAAACATTAATTTTTCAAAATGCTGTAATTAGTACTAAATATGCAATGAAATGATACTATCTATCATGGCATCACAGTTTTGAGTGTTTATGTACTCAAAGCAAAAAACTGTAGGTACTTTCAGGATCCTGCATATCAACCAGAAGCCTCCCGGTCATTTCTGTCTCATAACAAACAAAATGAGATGGATAACAAGGAAAATAACATCAAGAAAAATAACATCAAAAGTTTAGTATTCAAGATATTCCTGCTTATGAAAAAAGCAAGAAAGCATTATAGCAAATTCTGGGAAATGTAATAACTGACATCAAAGGCTTGAGTAAGCTTGGAAATTGGATAAACAAGGCACACTCTCTACTTACCTTGTTTGGAGACTGGCTCACTGTTTTTGAAGGTGAAATGAGTCCCATTTGTTGTGCTTGCTGGAGTGTAAATTTGGTGGGAGATGGCACCATCTGGGTGCTTCCACCTGTGCCACTTTGACTGGTGACAAGGCGGACCTGCTGTCCTCCGAGGCTGCCCAAGCTGCCTCCAGCCTGACTTGTGATGATCACCTTAGTAACAGTCTGTTGAAGATTATTTCAAAGAATTATAAACCATATAATCTAATACTTTATCAAGAGTTGTCAAGTTTTTTTTACCCACATACTTTCAAACAGCAAAGAAAAGAAATGGAAAAATTGCAGATACCAAAATACAATTACCAAACAGCATTTGCTGATAGTTCAAGTCAATATTTCCCTAATATACAGCAACTTCACCCCTTAGTGATCAGTATCAGTTTGCTTTGTCTCTTTTTTTTCACAATGTTATCTAAGTCTTTTAACCCATTCACGACGGGTGTCCCACATATGAGACACCCAAAAAAATAAACATTGCCGGGCGTCCCGCCAGTGTAACGCTGTATCGGGGCTCACGCTCCGACGCAGCAGCGGGCCATGGCTGGCAGTCAGACAGACTCCGGGGAAGCTCCGCCCGCCGATTTTGTAGCTGCCAGGAATCTTTTATTTTTGGCTTCAAAATATACCGGCATTTATGGGTTAACAAAACGAAAAAACATTCTTACTGTTCATTCAAAAACCTTCAAATAATTATTTTAGAACAAACGTAAAATATATTCCTCATTCTTTTTCTATAAATTTCATCCTAATATTCTGTAGATAAAAATGTAATTATACAAGAAAAACATTTTGGAGAAAATTATTCTACTTTCTTATTTGTAATGCACTGTATAGTATTTCTCCCAAAAAAGAACTGCAACAAATTTTGAAAATTACGGAACAGATTTTCTTTTACAATTATCGTTATCATTATTACTTACTCCACTATTGTGTGACTGCGTCTGCTGAGGCTGTTTGACCTGGACGGCGCGGACTTGCTGTGGGACAGTAGCTGGCTGTGTCACCACTATCTGTTGTCTAAGAGCACCACCTAACTGTGCTGCATTAACTACAACTGGTTTGTTGCTGTTGCTGTTCCCAAGGCCAGACATAGTTGTCACTACTTGTCCTCCAGATGTTATGATGCGGTTGTTCATTGAACCCAAAGAGAGTGAATTCTGTAGCGCAAAAAGAAAGAGACAATTCAAACAAGTATGATCAACAATATTCCTAATAATAATAATAATAATAATAATAATAATAATAATAACAAAAAAAAAAAAAATAACAACAACAACATGAGACCAGATTTCTGGCCCCTAGCATCTGCATTCCAAGTTACATTACTGGACATGATACAGATATGTACCATGATATCATCGACTCTGCTGTTAGATAGTGAAACTCAATCTCAATCATGCTTGTACAAGAAGTCCTTGAAACAGATCATGGGGCACAGTTGGCAAACCATGTGCCTATCCAATGACTGCACCATGAGATTGGTGTAAGACTTGTTACTTGCACAATGCGGGCCCACCAACTTAGAATAAAGACACTTGGTTCAACTACCTGAATATGACCCCAATCAGCAGGATGTCTCCTCAGGAGATAGCTTTATTCTAAATTTGAACACTGACGAATGCCTAGCAAATTGGACTTTTTTTTCTTCTCGGTTGTGACCCACTGGTTGGGAAGCAGTGTTCTTGTACATTTGTTTGTATCTTGTTAAAATCATGCATATATATAGTTTCTAGACAAACCTGATTTTGTTGAAGCACCACAAACTGGCCAAGGCTGCTCTTGATAACCTGTGGGGTCTCTGTGACAATCTGGTGGGTTGTAGTATCTCCGCCTGTAGAAGCAGAAGCTAGCAAGGCTGCAGTACCCGACTCCCCACCAGCTGACAACTCTTCCCCTGTCATAGTAATCAGCTCTCCTCCTTGCTGCAGCATGTCCATGTCACCTGTTGTTATGACACTTTCTTAAAATCACATATCAAAGCCATCCTATATAAATATATTGGGCTGTGTCACAGACAAATATCAGTAATGGTTGAGAAACTTCAATATGCAGATGAGAATTTTAAAAATCACAAAAGGATGGTAGAGAAAAAGGCAAAGACAACAAACATGAAAATATTTTCTAAACATATATGTACATTTAAATGTAGGTGTGGAAGTGCTTGAGTATATATATACTTATGCATCCTATGAATAAGGTTACCATAATGTGCGTCACTGCTAAAAATAAGGCAATTCATATTAGCTGTACAATCCGAAGAATACACATTCTAAAAAGAGTGGCAAAAGCCTATCCCAACTCACCAATAACTTGTGTGTGCTCCGAGAGTGCATCCACTTCCATCGGCTGGTGGTGTGCTTGGTGGTGAGTGTGAGCATCCAGCTGTTGTGGATCATCCACTCCACCTCCAGCCACCTCCACAATATTTCCCACAGCCACTCCATCTGATATGAGCACGCCACTTGTGTCTACAACCTATGGATAGCAAACAAATCATTAGAAGTATGCCAAACTTTGTATTCACAATGGACTTTGGCAATTAGAAAAAAAAGACAATGAAAAAAAAAATCTTAAGGATATCCTTGAATTAGAAATGGCAGAAGTATTGAATGAAAATTAAAGCAATTGACAATGCAGCCTAACTTGTAGTTAGATAAATAGCTATAATTGCATCTAAGATTTTCTACAGTTGCAGGTTGCATTATTTCATAAAAGAAAGTAGATACAGCCACAATTTGCAATATAATCATGTTTAAACCTGTCTCGAGTATAGCAAAATCTGCACTATATTAACAACTTCAATAATAATCATCATCTGGAAAGTGATAATCTTTAAACCTTTTCAATCATTATACTGAAACCATCCAAACCCTACTTATCAAAAGAAAAAATACAGAAATATTACAAACTAACATGTGCTTCCGTTGCTTCATGGAGAGCCTCAAGGTCTGCAGGCTGGATGTTGAAGCCAACTAGAGTCTCCAGATCCTGCTGTGTCAGCTGGCTCGACAGCTCTCCCAAGGCTGATGCATCAATGAACACTGTATTGCCTCCCTCACCCACATCTTTATCTGCAATCAAGAAAGGAGATGTTATCTAAAACAAAGAAGTTACACATTTTTCAAGAAAATCAATGATTTATTGATAAATGTAATGGAATTGGATACCAGGAATTCTACAAAGATTTATACAAAACATCTTTGAAGTTGTAAAGGATCAGAAATCATAATGTCTTCTTCAATTACAGTAAATAGCCATCTGATAATTCAAGGTGTGGTTATGTTTAGAAAAATTTGTACACATGTAGATATGTTTATCATTAGGCAACAGAGGTCCAGTGCTACTGCTGCAAATGTTTACAGCTTAACATGTTTTCTACCAGGAATTTTAGGCTGTAGATTAACTGTTGCAGCTCAATATTGTAATGTATGGTACATATAAATGATTTCATACAATATTACTACAGCAAAAAGGAACATAATTCTATAAACAACATGCTACAGGCATTATATATATCTATAACATTTATTTCACCAATATACAAATTATAAATCATTTAGAAATGTAACTAACAAGGCAAAGTATGTGAGGACATGCTGATCAACAACGGGTTAAAAATTTGGCAAGTGGGCCATTAACACAGGGCACTCATTGGCACTGCTTGTGAAGGTAAAAGTGAAGGTTTACCTTCACATTAGGCACTTTTGTTTCACAATACAAGTGATGCCACTACTATCTGAAAAAAAAGTTTGATAAGCAAATGGCATGGGAATGGTTGTGATGTAATGCCAGCCACTACTTTTTCCATAACAGATATGGCACGTGCACACATGCCACCTGGCAGAAAAGTGTTGTCTCAATACATTTGAAAGCGTTTTGAACCGTGAGACAGTCATGGCCATAGTCCAATCCGACTTCAGGTAAAGAAGAAGAATATAATAAGTATAATATAAAAATTCTGCAATAGTAATAATGTGCATGTGCAACTTGTTCTTGAAGCTAATCAACATGCATTGATATTTGAGCCACAAGACGTTATTGGCTAATGCTCATGAGACTGCAGCTCTACAAAGCCTGTACTTGAGCATGATGTTGCTCTTGAGCAAGGCTTTCCACCTTTTTGTTCCTTTTTATGCCTTGTGTATTCTGACAGGTTCCCAGCTTCAAGTGTCAAACTTTGATAAAATTAGATGTTCCTATCAATTCTGCAAGCACAGATTTTTTTTGTGTGATATATGGATATTGCAACGTACATGCATGAATAGATTTACATGCATTACTTTTTCTGCTTCTAACCTTGTCCATGTCACATTTTTGGAATTACTGAGGCAGGAGAGTTTTAATTTATTTGCAAATTTATCTTTCTACTTACTTGACTATTCTAATTTTATTTATCTATTCATCTCTATTTTCTCTTCTTGCAAAAAATGCAAATTTCTTTATTTTGTTTGTTTGTTTGTTTACAAATATACCATTCTTTTGAAATCTGAAAAAAAAGAAAGAAAAAAAAAGTCACTGGGAAAATAGTTTTCCCTGTAGTATAGTTTAGTGGACTGTCTCTGAACACAGAAGGCTCTGCAAGTACTTTGTTACAAAAAAAAAAAAAAAAAAAAAAAAAAAAAAAAAAAAAAAGACCTTGTGACCTCACATGATTTTAACTTTCTGTGAGTTTGTGGGAAAAATGGTCTTTTTACTAATGCTATCTATATCAATACTGTTATCATCATCATGGACATTATAGTTATTAGAGTATCATTTACATTACTAACAATAATATAAGATACCAATTTTTTTTTCCAAAAATCAAGGAAAAGGGTAAAACAAGTGAGATAGGTAGTACCCACATATAATTGGCTTATTCGTGACTTAGTACTTGTGGAGTCATCCATGTGTAAAACCAATTAATACTCTCACAGTGGGCATAGCACATCCCATAGAAGTGGGTTAACAAGACTTTAATATAGGTTTTTGAATACTTAAAACATTCCTGAAACACTACTGTAAAAGATTTTTATGTGAGGTGTTTTTTAAATAAAGAGATAATAGCAACCATCATAATATATAACAATAAAACACACTCCCCTCTTGACAACTGATTAAAAATTTAGCATTAACTCTCTATAATCTACTGGTTAACAAATCAGGCAAATGCTGTTTGACAGACATCAGTGCTTCCCCTGGAAGCATAATACCAGTCAGGGTGCAACCTGTAATGTGACTTTCAAGTAATGTGGAGGGAGGGATGAAGGGAGGGACAGACAACAGACAATCATTTCCAAAAAATTAAACTGCTACCAACGACGTAAATTGATTTTTATCTCAGACACAGTCACCTAATTGTATAGAGATACAAAGTTAACAACATATGCATACATTGAGTGTATGTTCTTTTCTATTCCTCTTATTCAAATTACCATTTTTACTCATCTCCTCTCCTTTCTCTTGACTGCCTCATCCAAAAATGCATGTTTTTCTACTGGATTCCTAAAGAATTATAGGACCATCATCCTCTGACCTCAATGATAGTCTTCCTCTGCTTAAGCACTAAACCCATTTTTCAAAACTGCCACCAAACAGATCAAACTTCTTTAACCACTTTCCACAATTTTGTGGATCCTACAGTGGTAAAACCTTTTGTTAACCTGCAATCAAGAAGCCTTTGATCTACTAAAACCAAATCAAATTGGCAATGTAAGTTCTCTTTACCTACAAAGCCTAAGCCAAGATATCCACTGATCATGTACGTCCAACAAGGCCTAAGGAGTGGGGAGGAAGAAGAAATGGATAAAGGAAGAGAAAAGAAAGTGTGAGAAAGGAAAGAGGCAGTAATAGAGGACAGGAGTAACTGAAGTTAAAGAGCCAAGAAAAAAATGTATGTATCTGATTTTCACCTTTAGCAGTAGAGGGCTTCTCCAAGAGTGTAGAGACATGGAATATCACGTGAGAAACAATGACATCTAAACCCTGAATAAAATGCATAATTTTCCTTTTTACTTTCCTATTACCAGTCATTCTCAAATGGCTAATGTTTACTTTGGAATAACACTTTTGTCAAAAATATATAAATATTTTTAAATGTTGCTGAGAGAAATATGGTGTTTCAACCTATAGGTGCTGGGTACATGTGGTTTTGTTTTATCAAAGATGGTTTTACATTACTTTGTCACCATGGAGTCACTTACTAGGCCTGCCTGATCTCAACTGTTTACTCCAATTCCTTAATTTTTGGTGAACGAGTTTTTTATCATTTTTCTTCTTATCACTGTCTCTACTAATGTTACCTCTATGTTCATTATTTGCAATATTACCAGTACAGCATTAAACCAATGCCACTGGATGGCTTGTACATACATGTCATGGCTGTTGTGGACAAAAAAGTGGGTGGCATCATATCACAACCTTTCCCATGTTGTCAGCTCATTGAATGGAGCTTGTTTTCTCTGATAGTAGCAGTATCATTTCTATGGGAAAACTTTTAGTCATGAGCACCTAAAGTGAAGGTAAACCTTAAATTTTTTTATAGTTATTTAAAATCATGCATAAGCTTTTAGGTGACTAATGTTGCTCGCCAACTACCAAACGAGTCAGGCACAAACTGCGTGTGGGCAGGCACGCACTTGAATGTATGTTAAGAGGGAGGAGAAATATAGAGAGAGAGAAGTAGAAACAGTATTAGATGAGAGATACTAGATCAAACAGGTTAAGTCTGTAGTGGCTAATATCAATAATTATACAACCAAAGGAGCAATAATAAAGTACTATTCTTTTATTTAAGCACATAATCTACTCCGAGTGTAAAATACCTGTATCTCTGATTTTTTTTTCTTTATTCAAGCCTTATTACTCACATATCCCTTCACAGACACACCATACTAACTTTCTGATCAATCTAAGCTTTTATGCAACTGTTAAATTCACCCTTTTCCACTTTTCAACTTGTCCTCTAAATCAGATGGATGTATATAGGAAATAATAAATACTAAACCACTGACACATTAAGAAAAAAAATAAATAAATAAATACATAAACAAATAAATAAATAATGGGGGTAAAAACATGAAGTAATGAGCTACACCAACAAAATGATGGCCCCACTAGTGCAACGGATTAACAGACTGTGTTAGCTGCTCAAGATCTTGTTCATTGTTTCCAATATCCATCAAATGGAGGTCTGTAAAACTGTTGTGTGAGTGTACTGAACTCTATCATGGTTTTACAGTGATTCCTCAGCACAAAATTTAATGGTAATTCTATACAGTAGGACACACTTGCCAGAGACAAGTATGTCATAGTGTCCCCAACTCCAAGTCAAAAAATTTATTCAACAATCTATGTTGCTGTGATTGGGTGTCTGAGGTGAGGATTGGTGGAATACCCCCTGAGAAACATTGCTTTTGCCTCGGTTTGCATGGCTAGATAGGGCTGAAACTTGGCAGGACCCAGTGCACCCTAGTGGTTGTGAGCGGTGCTTTCTGGGATATTTTTTCTTTATTTGAGGCATTACTTTTTGTGTCTGCAGATTATTTCTTGTACCAACAACTGCAACTTTTAGTCCTCTACAAGAATATCATCTTTAATTTATCCTATTTTGTCCAATTTAATTAAATTGGATATTCTCTTTCCCTGCTAAAGCATAAACTTAACACAGGAAATTTACTTTCTCTTGCCACAATGTCCTTAACACTCAAGATGTGTGTGTCATAGAAGAAACAGGGCCAGGGAACTCCAACGTCATTTTGCCAGTTTGCATTTGTCATTTGTGAAGAGACAGCATGCCAAAAGTTGTTACAATTGCTACACAAGGTAAGAGAATGCCCCTACAATAGTCTAAAGTATGTCTTATCTATGTCCATAACTTATTTACTTACTAAAATTTTGGGGTAACAAGTACAAATATACTATAAACTAAATGCATGAATACAGCCAACAACTTATGTCTGACAATGCAAACAGGTTAATAACAGGAAAAAACAAAAGTAAGATAGCACATGCCTCTGCCTGTGATAATTTGCTGACATGCCTATACAGACTACAGTCAAGTGATAAGTAAAGTGAGGAACTCTATACCTTTCTCTCTTTTCTTTGCAAGCTCTACTACTTTAGAGAGAAGAAAAAATATAAAGGAATATATATGCTAAGAGAATATTTGTATTCAGAGAATTAAAACGCCTATCTTGCCCACTACCAGAACATTTTCTATAAAGCCCTGGATTAACCATAAAACAAAACATGCAAACACTCAGAGCACCAAGGAAACCTGGTACCACTGCTGTAGCTATCAAACTGCAAGGAATAATGGCTTCATTGAAAGGATCCAGCAACATATTCTAAGAGCAGCAAATATTTAGTATTTGTGCTCTATTTTGTTACACCTAATCAACTAGACTTTATAGGTGTTATATTATCAGGCACCTGATAAATACTGAAGGGCAATAACCAGGCTGCTCTAACAGTATTACAGGTTCCTATTTCCTGACCCATTTGCACCAGGAACATGCAAGGTCCACTGCAGTTTTGTCTTGTCATTTTGGTTTACACAGAGATGGCTTCACAAAGTAACTTAGTCACCAAAGGGTCAGCTATGTTTCACATGCCTTGAATTCTCAGAAGAATTTTCAAAGCCGTTATTACAATTATCAACGCAATGATTTGGACTATCATTACTGACATTATCATCATTATATTGTTATCAACCAGTTGGCTCAAGATGATGTGGAAATCTTATCACAAAAAAAATTAGCTGAGGGGAGTGATGGGAACACCTCATCATGGAAAGAAAGGGAGAAAAAAAAAAATAATAATAATAACCCAGAAATATAATATGATGCCTGCTCAACAAAAATAGTCTATTATCATCTTAATACAGTATTAAAAAAAGGACAAAAAGAGACCTAGGACTATGGCAAAACTGTATTTGCAAGAAAAAGGGCTAATAGCAAGGAAGTCTAATATCCGGACTTTGGTCCATTCTCTTACCACGAGGCATTCACATTCAACAAGTTAACAACACTAGGATCAATAATAGAAAAAAAATTCTTTCTAAAAATGAAACTAATTGCATGAACATATTAAATCAGGCAGGCCTAGTTACCAACTCCTTGGTGACTAAGTACTTGTAGTCACCCATGCATAAACAAAATCAATAAAGCTTAAATCACAGTGGACATAGCAGTTATACATGACATCCTGGCATCAAAGGGTGAATCTAGTCCTGCGCATAAATACATGTACATTGTTTTTTTTTATTATAACTGTTCATAATCTTGGGACTTTTGAATGCCAAGTAAGAGTATAATAGAGTAGGAATCTCTGTTTTACATTCTTCTAAATAATATATAATGGGCGCAAAATTTTTATTAATCAATCTTTTTAAATATATAATTGTTAAAGACTTAAACCATAACCATTCATGTTAATTTTTCTTTGACCCCTTTCAACAATCATAACTAATTTACCAAAGAATTTATAATAGTTATTCATTAGTAAGTGATGAAAAGGTGAGACTTTCACATCTAAAAATCTTGCATTTCGTCCAAAAAATTTTGAAAGTATCAAATTCAGCCTGAAGTTCCTTCCTCCTCCCCTTTGACATAAAAGCAGTGACACAGCCAACATCCTCCTTGACAGCCTCCCAAACCTGCCCCACAAAGCAGCCCAGCCTCACCAAAGCCACAGGAAAGCCTAATCCTTGGCAAGAGCCCCACAATGAGGTCCCAAGCAGAGATTAAAGCCCAGCTATCAGTGAAGGCCAAGCGCCCCCACCCACGACACCAGGGCCAGGAAACCCTTCCCCAGCCCCTCCCGGAGTGGAGACTCGCCCAGGGGAATCATCAGGGAAGGGTGACTCGAGTCCTTTACCGCCCAAGGACTTAACAAAATTCTCCTTCATTGCTCGCGTCCTTCGTCCAAGTCAGAAGACGCGCCCCCATCGCCTTCTCGAGGACACCCGGCCACATATCACCCTTATTTTCTCTCAGACTCTGCTCATATTTACCTTTTTGGCCATACATGACCGTGGCTTACGATGAATGGTTAGTCCCGCTTGGCGGCAGATGAGATAAAGTGGGTCCACGGGCTAAAAATAAGATGATTTCGAGGTTTGTTTTCATTGATTATCGCTATTTTCGGTCGTGTTTACATGAGAGGGGATCCTTCACCTCCCCAACAATTATCATTTCTTCTAACTCACGCCCCCGCCACGGCCGCCGTCCTCCTCAACCACACCTTAACTTCCCGGAACACACCCTTAGGGCTCTCCTCGCAACTCGTTTAGGGTGACTTACCAGGGTTATTGTGTGGCATTCCGAGGGCGTTCAAACTCACGCGCCCACCATTACGATCCCTCGCTGCTCTCTGGCTGCGTAGCGCGCGCCGTTGCCACGTCTGCGGCTCCGCGCCCGCCCCACGCCTCGCCGCCCACACTGCGCCCTTGCTACCGCTCGCAAATGCACCTCGCACGCCCACAAGAAGGGTTAGATTTGGATGAGCAAGGACCATTAGCCATCATTCATTTGCGAGGGAGGAAGAGCGCACCGGGCTGGCACAATGCATTCCTCTCCCGCCATGGCCATTCAAGCCGTGCACTTCCGCCAAACAAAATGCCAAAATAAAACCTTTTTTCGTAACTCTCGTTTCCTATATCCTTCATGGACAGCAAGAGCACTTTTTCAAGCATTGGTTTCTTTGCGTAAAACAGAGTTTAATCATGCGACAGGAGAAATTTAAGGCGACCCAGAATTTTCATATTGAATTTATTCGAAGTCACGGGACTTTGTCGCCATAACAAACAGTATACTATAAATATTAAAAAGTTAAACTCTAAAACTTTCAAATATTTTGTATATTTTTTATTATTAAATTTATAAAAGTAGGTATTTCAGTATATTTATCCATTGCTGCCTTCATAGAACATGAGAAAAATTTTTAGTCGTAGACTATAGTTATCGGCAGCCATGTTTATGTTTTGATGTAATGTGCGTTATTTTTACGGAAATTCATATACATGTAGGTGATAAATAAATCGGCGCTTGGACGTTTCTAAAATAATTTATCTCAATTCAAAGGTTCGTAGGAATAGAGAAGGAGTATTTTTTCCGTACAAGAAAATAAAGAATACTGGGCATTAGTTTCACCGTATGTTTTGGGCTCGGTGAGTGACACGCTCGGGAGGCGACAGGCGCCGTAATCTTTGAAACAACTATAAAATGGCCTTTGCTGTGCAAATTCGTCAGCAGCTGCAGGCATTGGTTTCATCTGGAGGGTCACACAAAGATCATGACAAGTAAATATTCTTTTATTTATCTGTATTATATTGTTTTGTTCTTTCAGATTTTTGGATCAAGTCTACATGTAACTTCAAATGAATTACTTGGCACTTCATTTCTTCGCTTATTGGTAATAAATAGCTTGAGTGGCACAAGAGGAAAAAGAGTTTTGAATTTAAAGTGCTTGATTCTGATGTCACTTCCTTCTTAGGCAATTTCCAAGCAGACTGTGTGGTTATCATTGCCAATCATTGAATTTATTCAGCTTTTTTTCTTCTTTTACAGGGTTTTAGACTTATTGTCTATTTTCCCTGAAACTTGATTCTTGAGATCTTCCATCTTTTGATTGCAGGCTTTCTTTTGTTAATTCTTGTTATGTTCTCTGGTTTATATGATGTTCACTATTCTTGTTCTTTGTAAGAAGATCTTCATATGTCTTAAATTGTAGTACTTTTTACCTGATGGATGATTATATCCTGTAATGAGTAAAGAGATATTAGGATTAGTAATTTTGATTTTTTTAGTGCCTTTATTGGTGATACAGGTAAAATTTCCGCCAGCCATCTTTTAGACATCAAATTATATATGCAAATGATAGAGAGAGTGATTCTAAGGAAGTTATATTTTATGAACTTTAACTGCAACTCAATAATAACAAAGTTATTGGACATGCAAGTGTCTAAGAGCTTACTCTATTAGTTTAGTTCTGTCAGAATGGAAATGTGGGCATTGTAGTGTTAGGACACTACAAACGTCGTTTTCTGGTTACTGATCTGCACCATTGTACGATATGTTGGGCTACGTCAACAGTGCCCCACCGCGTGAAAGTCAAAATGGGGATCACAATGATTGGTGTATTTCTACACACCTACCATGGCATCATGTCGCCTTCGCCTTGCCACTCAAACACCACAACGCTGGACAACACATACGCCAGTAGCATTAGAGCAAGTTCAGCAGCTGCTAATGGCTCAAGGTGCAGCCATCGCCTCCTTACAGCGGCAGCTGGTACCGCAGCCGGCAGTGCAACAAAAGACGCCTCAGACCCCTGCACCTGTAGCCCTGGAGAAGTGTGAGGCATTGATGTCTGTAGTAGCATTCAGATCCTGGAGGGCTGGTTGGGGCTTAGTGGTTTGTTGCAACCACAGGCAGTGCTGCACATACGCCTCTACCGTATGCCAGCCGTGCAACATGCCCTGGACACCCGGTTGACGATGGCAGAGTGGCAGGCACTGTCTACTGAAGAGGCTCTGAACATCATTGGTCGCATCACTCATCAAACAACCAACCAAGCAACTACTTGATGCATATTCTTCGCCCTTAACTAACTTCCTAGCGAACCTGTAAGTGACCAATTTATGCGTTCAGCTCAGGGTGTTGCAGATTATGAATTTCAGTGCCCTCAATGTGATGGTAATCTATCAGAGATTCTGTACTCTTTCGGAAGTTGATGTCAGGCTTGTGCAGTGTGTCACTGAAAGAGAAAGTGTTTCGTATGTGTACATCTTTCAGTGATGTGGATTCACTACATGAACACTGCATGGCATTTGAGGCAACTCAAAGAAATTCCAACAATTTTGGCAGAAACGACTGTGTATGTATGGTGGTAGCCGGCGCCATACCACAGGACAGTGACCTGCAGCTGCCTGCAGGCACTCGCCACCTAAATAAACCCCACCTTTGCAGTAACTGCAGCGGCACTCACTCACCAGGGAAGACAGCGTGCCCTGCTTGCCTGCCGTTGATGTGGAAAGGTTGGACACCTGAAAAAAATGTGCAGGGGTAAAGGGAAGCGCACAGTAACAGCAGAGGATGTTGAAGCCTCGGGCATTGTGGTTGCTAGTACAAGTAAGGCACCTGCTCAACAAGAAATTATGGTGACTGTGTGCCACACAAGAGGCTTTTGTTAACTTACTCCTACACAGGTGGTGCCTGACACTGGAGCACAGGTATGTGTGGAAGGACCAAAACTAGCAGCTGCCCTCGGAATCAAGCCAGCACTGTTGACACGATGCAAGAGCCTGCGTGATGTAGCGGAGGTGTTGCTGAAGCCCCTTGGCTCAGCCACATGCCAAATTCAGTATGATGGCTGCTCAACAACTCAGCAGGTCTTCTTTGTTGAGACGGCCAGCCACTGCTATATCTCACTAGAGGCGTGCAAATAACTGGGGCTGGTCCACAGTAACTTCCCTCACCAGCCTCCCATTACAGCGCCCATTACCACAGACAGTGACTTTACCCAGGTGGAGTATATAGGCGACTTCCCACAGAGACCAAAGAAGGTACCATCTCTGCCACTGGAAGAAAGTGTACCACAGTTGGAGGACTGGCTCCTCCAGCATTTCTCAGGATCAATTTTCAACACCAGCCGACACCCATTGCCTGTGATGGCTGGCAGACCTCATCAAATCCACTTGGTGGAAGATGCAAAACCCTATGCGTATCACACACTGGGAGGTGGAGGTGAAGAGGCAATTCGATGAGGACATGAGGAAAGGAGTTATTGAGCCAGTGCCAGTCGGAGAAGCAACGGAGTGGTGCGCAAGGATGGTGGTAGTCACAAAGAAAACAGGCCAGTCACTGCGCACCATCGACTATCAAAAGCTCAACAGCTCCTGCCCGAGGGAGACTCACCATACCCCAACTCCATTTGACATGGTATATGGTATTCCCCATCATGTCTACAAGACATCAGCTGATGCTCACTGGAGCTTTCATCAGGTGGAACTGGAGGAGGCCAATAGGAAGCTTATCACATTTATTACCCCCTGGGGCCGTTACCATTACCATAGGACGCCGATGGGTCACTGTGCAGCCCCAGATGCATACACCAGGAGATATGATGAGGCCATCGCGGGAATCCAGAGGAAACTGAAGTGTGTTGACGACACTGTGATCAACGACTATAATGTGGAGGACGCCTTCTGGCACGCACACCAGTTCCTAGAGATGTGTGCCATGAAGGGCATCACCCTGAAGCTGGAGAAATTCAAGTTCTGCAGGAGGGAACTTGACTTTGTGGGATTCCATATAGGCTGGGACTCTTATAAGCCCACTGATGAACATCTTGCAGTAATTAGGAATTTCAGCATGCCGGAGACGCCTTTGCTGATTGACATTCGCTCGTGGTATGGATTTGTCAACCAACTAGCACCATTTTTAGCTACAGCACCAATTATGGAGCCCTTCAGGGAGTTGCTGCAGAAACCACAAGGCAAGCGGGTATACTGGGACTCACAGCTTCATGTGAAATTCCTACGAGTAAAGGACATGATATGCCAGGTGGCTAAGGATGGCCTGACCTTCTAAGACAAGGGGCGACCCACCATTGCCATTACAGACCAGAGTAAAGTGGGCATAGTGTTCATTATCCTGCAGCAATACTGTGACTGCCCAGCAAGGGATGCCCCATTTTAATGCAAGAGCGGTCGGCGCCTCGCACTGTGTAGCAGCCACCATCTGACACCTGCTGAGACAAGTTATGCTCCAGTGGAGGGTAAGGCCCTGGCAGTGGCTTGGTGTCTTCGCAAGGCATGGCTGTTCCTGCTTGGCTGCTCAAACCTTGTCATTATTACTGACCACCGGCCGCTGGTTAAACTTTTGGGAGACAGAGCATTGAAAGACATTGTAAACCCCGGCTTTTCGCCCTCAAAGAAAAAACGTTACAATATAGGTTTCAAGTAAAATATCTACAAGGCAAGCATAAGTATGTAGCTGACTTTCTGTCCCACTACCCAGTGCTCTGTGCGCTGCCTGATGCCGCAGATAAGGACCAAACAGATGACCTGGAGGTCACCGTGGCTGCTGCAACCACTACCACACTTTTTGGGTACGACCGCGTCACGCTTGACCACACTGCAGTGCAGCACGTTGCCTCCAAGGACCCAGAGTATCAGCTGCTAATAGCCAAGATGTCTGCAAGTGATTGGCACCAACATCATGCTCAGAAAATGGCTTGTCTGCATCAGTTCTACAACATAAGGGACAGGCTGGCTCTTTGGCAGGTTTTGGTGACATACAACTTTGACCAGGGAGCTGTCCACCTTGTGATACCAGAGGCTCTACGTCATCAGATCGCAGCCAACCTCCATGCAGGTCACCAGGGACTTGACCGCATGTTTCAGAGGGCAATGCAGGCAGTGTACTGGCCTGGAATGAAAGGTAACCTGCAGTTCAACTGTGATGCCTGTGACACCTGCAACACACATGTTCCATCTCAAGCAGCAGTACCTCTTAGAGTATCCATTTCAGTTCACGGTGGCTGACCTGTTCCAGCTCGAGGGACAGATGTACATTGCGTATGCTGACAGGTGCACAGGCTGGCTGGAGATCAGTCACCTGCCACCTCAAGTGCTACGTCAAGCAGGATAATGGCCTTGTTTCCCTAGTACTTTGTATGTTGAGGTGTCCCAGAGGGCATATCAACTGACGACGGTATCAACCTAACTAGTGATGAAGTGTGCAAGTTCTTGAACAAGTGGGTGTTGAAATGAGAACATCTTCTGCCCAGTATGCACAATCAAATGGCCGGGCCGAGGCAGCGGTCAGGTCAGCCAAGAGACTGCTATGTGCGAAGACAGGGGCCAGAGGGAATCTGGATTCTGACAAGGTCTCGAAGGCTCTGCTGCAGTACCTGAATACGCCCCTTTGGGAAGTGAATAAATCACCTGCTCAACAAGCCACGGGATGTCAGCTGCGAGACCAGTGCACAGGCATTATTATAAGGGAGACATACATTGGCAGCGGGTTCTACGTGCGAGAGAGCTAGCAACAGCCTGACAACACAGGAACATAGTGGAGCAGCATGGGATGCCTAGAACCCTCGTCCCCCTGTCACCTGGTACATCAGTGTGTGTGCAAAACCAAGCCACAAACGTTTGGGACAAAAGGGGCGTTGTTACAGAGGCCCTTCAGCACCGTCAGTACTCCATCAGGCTGGATGGCAGTGGTCGTATCTCGATTCGAAATCGGAGGCACCTAGGGCCTGTTCGGGTTACCATGGCAACCCCACATCCAA